CATGGTCACACAAATAATTTGTCAAAGACAAGACTTGAACATAGGTCTTCCTGATAGAAACATTGACCCTTTATATAGTATATCACACTGCTGTTCTACATAATAATTATGTCTATAGCCACATTCTTTTCAGATACAGAAGTATAGACTCATACATGTACATGAATATATATGTATATATGTATGTATGTGAATATGTATAGTACATTCCTATATTCTATAGCTCCCTTTGCTTATGAGTCTGCATATTTGGAGTACGTACTGTTTCTACTTGAATCCAGAGCTTCAAGGAACTAAGAAGTCTTTGAAATTATTTGATGCTAAGTAAATAAACAGAACAAAGAGAGGTGTGGTTGTTAAAGTTAGAAAAAAGTAACTATGAAAACAGTTAAAACAAAATACTATCATATGACACAAAATAATGCTGAAAAGTTTCAATATCACTCCATTTTTACAGTTATCATTGGTTTGGGAGGTGATTTGAGGAACTTTAAAAATTTAATAATTTTGCTTGCTTTCCAATGCAATGTTCAAATAGTTCACTGACTGTAACAAATAAAAAGGTGCCGCTAATAATGTAATAACTTTTTGTTTTAAACAAGGTTTCATTTGAAGCACTGAAAATGCTGTACAAATAAATATCTTAAACAGAGCCTCACCTATGAGAGAATTACAAGAATAAGCAAGAAGCATGAAGATGCTTGATTTGACCCATGGGAATATGTAGGAGCTACTATTAACTCTTTTCCAAAGTCATACTACGTGCATGTGGCAAAGCTAAAAATGGCACAAAATTACTGTCTCCTTGCCAATTATGCTGTGCCATATGAATCTTAGAATACAGACGCTCTTGAATAATCATATTTTTAAAAATTCAGGTGGATCTCCATCTACACTTGTAAACAAATCAACAAAACTTCAAACATTTCAAATTAAAAACATTGACTAGCATTTTCTACCATACTGAATGGAGCCACTTTTCGAGCTTTAACATATAGAGAGAAAGGTTTTCCACTCTGAAACATTAACAATAACATTTGCTTTAGTCTTGGAACTATTTACCGGTTGACTAAAAGCATCTAGCCATTTGTGTGGAGACAGGTTAAATTAACACAATTTTCTTAAGTCCAGAAGCTTTCCAAGTATGGCACCTTCTCTTGTGGAGGGAGAAGGAAGTGCCAGTATACTTCTCACTAGACTCCTTATTTCTCCAAAACCAGTTCCCTGACTGAAGATATATAATCTTAGGATATTTCTATGGAGTCTGTAGAATTATATAAAGAATAACAACTAGGAGTTTAGGATCAACAGTTCCTTTTCCCCTGGGGTTAAGGCAGGATAGTGGTGGTGGTAGTAGTGATGGTAAAGAGGTCTAGACATGATTTTATTGGTGTGGGACAATCCCAAACTGTTTCCATCCTTCTCTGTGTCTTAAAGAGTTGATGGGATTGAGAAATAAAGTAACATGGCCCCAGTGTGACAACAGTGTGTGTCAGAAGCATGACCTGAGCCCAAGTCTTCCTGGTGAGTCCCTTATCTACTATGTCACATGCTGCCTTCCACGTTTCAAAACAATCTTTAAAACTCAAATTTCCCCTGACTGTGCCTGTAAGGTTTTGATTTAATATCATTAGAATCTTTGAAAGAAACAATTTAAACATCACCCTGACTGCCTTGCCCAAAGAAATTCTTTTCAACCTTTATGTCATAAAAATATTATTTAGTTTGGGACCTGGAAGGGTTCTTAGCAATTATCTTGCCCAACTCACTTTAAGGATAAGGTCAAAGACTCCCAAGGTCATACTAGGTTGGTGGCAGAGCCAGGGCTAGAACCCAGGTCTCCAGACTACCAACGTAGACTATTTCCTACTTTACCACAAGAAACATTGAATTGATATAAAAGAAAATACACAGAATAAAACAATATGTAAACATAATTAGCTTGCAATTATTTTTTGAAGGTATGTTTTGTTTTGGTATTACTACATCAAAAAATCAGAACATCGACATCCTCAGGACTAAGCATGCCAAATGTGATTTCAAGGCCTTGTCTGGTTAAAAAAAAATTCACACAGGACAAGTAAGCAGCAACATGTTACAACTGTTGTTAAACTTCCATTTTGGAATCAGTCTTAATGGTAAGCAGTTTGGAAAACTTCAAAAGGAGGACAAAAATAGGTGACCCCAGTGGAGAAACAGTTAATTGCACAGCACTACCTCAATAACCCCTTATCATTGTAAATATAATCAGGCAAAGCTTTTCTTAAAGCAATACAAAATGTCACCACAGGCTGACGCTCTTTCTACAAGAATAATGAGACTCTCTACCTTGAATGCAGAACACATACTCCTTAGCCTTTATATTCACTTCAGTCTTGGTGATTAATATCCTCTCCCCCAAAAGGTACATAGTAACATCCCATGGCAAAAGTATGTTCATAGAGTCTTATAGATACTAAAAGTCATAATATGCTAGAGTGCTAAATAAAAGCAAGGAAAAAGAAAGGAGAATAGAGCAGTTTCACAAACTGAAGTTTTTTTGTTCTTCCAATCTGACCAAGCACAATTTAAAAAAAAAAAAAAAAAAGCTCTGGAAAGGAAATAGAAAAGAAAAAAGGAGGTGGGGTGAGAGGAGAGAGGTCTAACTTGCCCGGTCCATTGTGCCAGGCTTTTATACTGCATTCCCACAGGGGTCAGTTTTTCAAAGGGGTCTGAAGAAAGTACATTTAGCTACTATGAGACTTTTAGTTGCTGCGGTTGACACTGTGCTTTTCAAAGCACACACACACTCCTCACACCTCTATCCTCGATATTGAAAGAGGGTCTACTCCCACACAGGCGAGTTCAGTAGCTAGGCTTCTCGGTTTTCAGGTCTGCAATATCCGACCTAGTATTCAGCCGAGAGAGGAAGCCTGGCATCAGGCAGTGCGTGTGTGTGCTCCTGTTACTATGTGACAGTGTGTGTATTATACACTCTCCCAGCACTGTTCACGCGTTAGTGTTGTACATTTACTGCTGGCAACACAATCCTTCGGGGCTAAAATAAATAGCGCTGCAATGACTACTGCACAGAGGGGGGGGGCGGGGGGGAGCGTTTTAGAGGCAGAACCACTCCCTGCTTAGCTGTACAATGTGCAGAGAAACCTGACCGGGGACGTGTCCAATACAAAATAACACCAGCAGCCGCAACGAAAGGAAAATTAATCAAATAAGATTATCCCATAAAAGTCATGAAATGGTTAAACTGGAAAAATTTACATGCTGGTTTTTTTTTTTTTTTTGGTTTGCATTTTATAGGTTTCATCTCTTTCCCACGCCACTGCTCCCCTTTCCCTCCTCCCTTGCTTTCTTTATCCAGCTCATTTCCCTTTTGGTCACTGGGATTGTGGAAAAGTGAAGAGATCCAAAATCTTCCACAGTCTTTGACCCTGCTCTCTTCCTTAATCTCCCCTCCATTCATTTCCCTCTTTTTAGCTCACCCAACCCCCTCCACACACACTTAAAGCCCCCTGAAACTCTTGGCTTCTCTCTCCTCCTAAAAGCTAAAGATTTGTTGCAGGGGCTGTCTTCAGCCTGCCTCAGAACTGCAGGTGAGGTCATTACTCAATCTGAAAAGCAACTTTAAAAAAAAAAAAAGAGGAGAGAGGCAAACTCCCACCCTTCTTCTCTTCCGCCCCCCCAAAACACTCAAATCTCACTCTCTCTCTCTCTCTCTCTCTCTCTCTCTCTCTCTCTCTCTCTCTCTCACTCACTCACTCACACACACACACACACACACACACACACACACACACACACACCAGCACAAACAGTTCTCTCTTTTCCTTTTGCCTGGGAGCAGTTTGGAGGTTCTAAAACCCGTTTGATGACTTTGCCTAGCAAAGAATTGAAGAGCTCTGAATTATGTTGAGAGCGACAAGAAGAAAGTGGGCTTTCTTTTTATGACCTAAAACAGGGAGAAATAATCAACAGAAACACCCGGTCGGCTATCAGACCACATGTGAAAACTTTAAATATACGTTGGACACAGATTTCTATTTTAAATCAAATCCAAGGGTGGGGGAGGAGGAAGCAAGGGGACTGCAACTGCCGCACTCTGAAGGAACAGTGACAGCCAAGTGGCTGCTATACCTCAGCCATAGCCATAGCAGTCCGAAAGGGCTTGAGCCAGACCAGAGGTAGAAAGTCAGGAACGGTTTTTGTGTGATATCTTAGTTGGGGGTGGGGGGGCAGTTCTGAATAGTCAGACACAATTCAGAACTGTTAGTTCACACAAACTGGAAGAACCACAAACCACCAATCCATCTACCTCTCACAAACCTAGGCATTAATAATGCCATTTCTGGTTGTGTTGCTTGTAACCCTTTCCACGTTCCTCTAGTCACATACACGCATCAACAGAGGGAAAACCATATTCAAACAGAAAGTGTGGAAAAGGATGCAGATTCTCTCTCTTTCTCTCTCTCATCTATTTCTTCTGATCTCCAATCTATTCTGCCATGAGGAAGTTACTGGGGGACTCATCAAGAAAAAAAGTAGCGTGCGATTATTTCCTGCCATATCTAAATAATACAAAAACTGCATGGAAGATAATGACGTGGACTTGGACACTATAAAGACAATCAGAGAGTATATGAGGGAAGAAAAAATTCTCCACTAAACGTAGGGTTCTGAAGGGGGGAGGGATAAAGAGGTAGTCTTCCCACAATCACTCCCACACCCCCAGTTTTATATAAAGTTACTTGAGATTCAAAGAGTGCACCTGCTCGTCACCCAAACTTGAACAAACCAGCAAAGCTTGAACAGGCGGCACGAGTGACAGGTCCCAGCTCCAAAAAGAACACTCTCCTGCCCCCCACAACCGGTTCCCTCCCTCCTCTAAATGTCTTTGCGCATAGCCCCGGGCATACGGGCGGAGGAGGTCCCAGGGAACAATCCCCCTTTTTCCCCTCTTTCTTCACCCTGGCATTATGAGTGGCCACGTTTCCGCAGCTGCTCACCTGGCCTAAGGACGGCGGCAGAGATCAGGAGGCTTACGACCAGTCGACAGGAGTGGGCTGCTGTTGGTGCCATATTCCTCCTCCTCCTCCTCCTCCTCCTCCTCTTCTGTGTGCAAGAACACAGTCCACTTCACAGGAGGGGGGCGTCGTCCTCCAGTCCCCTCGGTAGTAGTACCACTTGGAGGTTAGGAATGGGAAAGGGGGAATGGGGGGCAGCAGCTTCGCACAGACACACCGCCCCCCCAGGATCTGGGGCTGCACCTTGTCCTCTTCCTCGAACGCAACTTTCCAAAAGCCAGTGCCACCAACCCCCCCCCCCCCCCCCAACCCCCCAAGGCGGTGCCCCCCCCTGCTGGGGAACCACGGGGGCCCCCCCCCCCCCCGAGACAATTGAGTAATTTTGTAATTTGCAGGTGGTCCTTATTTTCTTTAATTTCTTTCTCTTGCAATAATAATAATCTCAATTTAAAAAAAAGCCCAGGTGCTATGAACAAAATCACTGGAGAAAGATGATAAGAAGCAGCGGGTCTTGCAGTTCTCCTCAGGTGGCAGCGGTAGTGCCAGAGGCAGTAGTGGTGGTGGCAGTGGCAGCGGCGGCGGTAGCGGCGGCAGCAGTAGCAGCTGCAGCTGCGATCGAAGAGAACTAGGCTCTGAGTGGTAGTGACTGGAAGGCGTGTGTAAGCTTCTCCTTCCCTCTCTCCTCCTTCCTACCCACCCTCTCCCCCCTCCCCTCCTTTCCCCCCCGCAACGTATCTCTCCTACCCCTCCCAGCAGAACAGAGCAGGTGGTTGAAGCGCCGACTGGCAGCCTAGGGGCGCTGCAGGACCGAGCCTCGCGAGCCAGGCACTAGGAAGGCGCAAGGAGGATGGGGAGTGCGAAGCGCGCTCCAGGGATACTGGAGTAGGCAGGTCTCCACCCCGGGAGTCCCGCCCCCTCGGGAACGCGCACCGCCAATGGGAAACTAGCAAAGGATATCCCGGGGAGCATCGGCTCGGCTGGTACCCTGGCGGCTCCCGAGGGACTGCCACTTCCTTGGTCTTGCTAGTATCACTCATGTGACATTATCTCTTTCTTGTTTCTCACTTGGCTGAGAAAAGGACAAATTCTCCACGTTTCTCACATACGCAAACATCACCCCGCGCCCTTACTTCCCGCACTTCTTTTCTCTGCTAGAATTTTGCATCTTTCTTTTAGGGATGATGTTCCGGGGCTGGGATGAGACGCCTAGGGTAGGGGTGGGGGAGGGAAAAGACTGGGATCTAGGTTGGTAGGTCTGAGCAAAACAAAACTAAGCGAAAGAAAACACGGAGAGTGAGCCTCTGGAGAAGGAGATATGAATAACTTTTGGTTGGTTGCAGCCCGAGGGATGAGAGGGAATTATTTGACGTTCTGGGCTTTTTTCCTTCTTTTTGAAGTCAACGCTCTTGAGTCATCAGTGTGGACTAGACGCTAACGATATTTGCTTATTTGTTCTCAGTACCATCCCCCTGCCTCAATTTGAGCAAGACAAATTCGAATCTTCCAGAGTAGTTGTTATTTTCATAACACTCTTCTCCTCCTTTAAAAATAATGAAAAAAATATCGTGGACCCATCATTTTAAGTTAAGCGGAAAATGAATAAGAAAAAGAAAAAGAAAAGCTTAAACCTATGGAAAATGAAGGTCTAAAGTTTTCCAGTCTCTGAAAACACGGGCACCTAAAGTGACAATTTCTGGTGACAGGACCGGCTCCCCAGCAAGACACCTGAAGCTTTGCGGAACTCAGAGGCGTCCGAGAGGGGCTGTTGTTAATTCTACGTAGGTTTAAGAACTGGAGTTCTCTGTTCTTTTTACCTAAGTATAGCAAAATCTCTTTTCTGCATCAGCACACCTCAGCATTAAATAGCCTTTGTGAAACATAGGTTCATGCCTACATGGAGTTGATTTCCAACAGGGAATGCCGTCTAGCAATGACCAGGTAGTATAGTATCCTTTTGCCAGGAGATGAATGACATATTAAAGAACCCCATCCCACCCCCAAAAAAACAACAAATGACCCTTGACCTTTACATTCTATCATACCAGAAGCCTAGGAAAATTCATTCAGCTTTGTTTTATGTTGGTGACAAAACAGAATAGAACAACACATCTATTTTCCTCTTTTTTCTTCACATTAACTTTGACTTTTTATCTAGTTTGGTTAGGAAAACACAATATTCAAGAATCCTTGTTTGTTTTCCTTTTCAATTTAACCAGTCTCTAATATTTCCATGATCTTCAAGGCTACTGGATACTTCCAGTTTTAAGCATATTTTGAGCATATTTAAGCGTATTAATTTCAGAGGAAAAACAAGAAGAATATTTCTTGAAGGAAAATGGTTCTGAACTCACATTTATAAGGTGAATTTTACTCAACTGCTGGAGTTTGGATTTATTCAAGGGAGTCTTTTTCCCTAAGCAGGGGAGGATCTAGAATTAAGCTAAGACAGGGGTATAAATCAAGGACATCTAGACACCTAAATAACCTGAACTTAAGGCCCTACTGCATGCCTCTTTGATATTAGGGTATGGTTTTAAAATTTATCTTAGTTTGCATGTGTGCTTGTGTGAGGCCACTGTGCTCACTGCATAGAAGTATGCATAGAAGCATAGAAGCATAGAAGTCCAACCCAAACTTGGGTTATATTCAGAACTGATCTTAAACCATCATCTTCATTCATGAATATCTATATGTATATATTTATAAACATGTGTGTATAAATATAAAATTATAGGTAATACATATATGTGTACACACATGTGTATACGTATTATATTCTAAAGATTTAAAGTAAATTTATTTTCATTATGCTCAAAACCATTTTTAAGAAAGACCTCTATATTTTAAAATATACACACATATATGTATGTTATATATATAAGCACAAATAATATGGATATGTGTTGTATATGTGTATTGTATGTTATGTATGTTATATACGTTATATATTCAAAGCCCTTAGTATTCACTTTTCAGAGCAATAATCAATTCAAACCAAAGGCACCTGGATTAAGACTATGGCAGAAATTGGAAAGAAGAGCAAGAGACAGGTTTGATATTCTATAAAACAGAATTTGTTGATAAATTTTGCAGAATTAACAACAGATGTGTACTGGCCATATTCATAAATAGACATGTGTTAGTTTCACATGTGAATCCCAAAGCCCTTTGAGAAATTATTCCATAATTATTACAGGAATCACTATCTTGGTTCAAGGATCATGGATCATAAATCAGCACCTGAAAAGTTCCTTAGAGGTTACCAAGACCAAGCTACTCATTTTTCAGATGAGGGAAATGAAGCACAGAAGGGTTAAGTAATTAGTCCAACATCACATAGCTGGCAAATTATAGAGACAGAATGAGAATTCTGATCCTTTAAATGTAAATCCAATGTTCTTTTTTTTTTAACACTAGTACAACATATAGATATCTTAATTTCCTGAATGATACGTAATTGAAGGAAAATCATGGTGCAGTGGATAGAGAACCCAAGAAGATAGAGCCTTACTTCTGACACATATTTACTGTGTAATGTTGATTAATCACATAACCTCTCAATGCTAGGCAAGTCTCTAATATACTTTGAAAAGAATGTGCCAACCTGCATCAGTAGAGGGAATTTTCTCTTCTGGCAGTATCCTATATCAATGAAATCACAGGTTTAGTTCCTATCACCTACATAATTGAATTGTAAACTCTTTGAGACTGTTTTTTTTGAGACTTTTTGTGTCCATAGTGCATAGAGACTCAAATATTTGTTGAATTGAATATTGTGATTGATTTCATATAATGGTAAAATCATAGTAATAGTATAATTCTGTAACTGAGGATGAAATAGATCTCCATCAACATCTTCAATAATGCTAGCCATATGGTGAGCTATATCACTAAAGCTAAAACCTTCAGAGCCTTGGAAGCCTCAGTATTTCCTTCAGGCTGTAGGTCTGAACTACTGTAAAAACAACAACAAAAAAAGAAAAACAGTAATCCACTCATTTGGGTTTCTCACACCTACATGAGAAATGAGGAAAGAACCTTGCTAAGCTGTTTTACTATGGAGCCTACACTACATTTATAAAATTGATGTCAAAAATACTCAGTGTATAAAATAATAACCCACAAGTGATTACATTAGGTGCATAAAATTTAATCAAGAAGCATGATATATTCTGGGTTTTCCCTGCTATTTGGGAATTTCTTTAAAAAGGTCACCGTATATTTTCAACTTTAGGATGAAAGAAGCAGATGTTTTAGCACTGAATAAATAGAAAGTGACTCAGAGCAGGATTACTTAAATATTTGATACCTTGAAAGAAATTTAAATTTGATTAAGCATTCTAGAGATAATCCCCAGGGCTACCTCTATCTGTAATGACACTTCTACCTTCCATCTTGTGATTCACAAGTCTGTCAAGAAAAGGGGCTGACAAATTAAAGATCTGTAGAAACTGAGAAAAGAATGTATATTTTATCTTGTAACCCTATACACACATACAAATATAATTATTGTTTTTACTTATTTATTTATTGTGAAGGGGGAGGGAAGGGGGTCATCTGGACCTTTGATTTCATTGATATAAGGGATTATTGATATGGAAACTCCCTCCACCTATGCAAATTAGTAACTCTCTGAAATTTATATAAACTCTTAGAGTTGTTTCAGGTACTGAGAGGTTAATCAACTTTCTTATGGTAGTAAAGATAGTATCTGTCTGAGGCAGGACTTGATTTCAAGGATAGCCATTTTTGACAATAAAGAGTCCATCTTAATCCCAAAAGAGTCAACATCCACCAAATAATTAATTCTCATTAATTTACTTTTGAATATTATATTTAAAAGAATAAAAAGTAATTATTGTAAGTATAACTCCTATAAGATCAAAACAGACCTTTCACTTATATTACAAAAATGCATTAACAGTAGTAACTCATCCCTCATGACTTGTTACATAATATAGGATAAAAATAAATTGGAGTTAATAATGGTTTTGGAGGCATGTGTCCAACTTGATAAGGAAGCACAACTCCAGGGTTACTTACCCAGAGCATCATAGAGATATCTCTTTTGGTGTAATGTATCACTTTTAATAAATATAAACAAGGGAGCTGCCATTTCAAAGCAAATTAGCAGAATAATCCAAAATCTAGTTGAGTGCCACACACCACTAATAAAGTACAAAAGCAAAAAACAAAATCCCAGTGCAGTTATTTAAACTGTTTTTGGGATCCCATAGTGGGTTGTGTTTTATATAACATATCATTTAGGCATGCTTACAAATCTGGTGC